AATCCATTAGTAAAGTTTTCGGCTAAGGTTGGCTAAAATTTTTTTTTGAATCAGCAAAATTATTACCAGGAAAAGCATTTTCTCTTTGATGCCACACCCCTCCCCCGCCATAAATAATGACAGGTCCCTCAACACATTGGGGTCCGGTGTTGGGTGATAAATTAAACCGTCCTTTTTAGATATTGTTTCTGTTTATTCTTGGCTAACATCCAAACTTTGCCTCAAGAAAACCTGCTTCCTTACGACGAAATACAACAAATCAACCAAGTCTTAGAAGCTTTCCTGCATATAGTCACTCCTTTCAAAATTGGCCGTTTTGAAGAAAAATTTGGTTTTGTGTGGATAAGCTTAGTTCCATTTCTCCAATTAGCTTTGGCAGGACCGAGTAGGCCTTTGGGGACTGAGAATGAGGGACTTCAGACTCGTCCCCAGGTTTCTGTGGATCCACACTCGGAAATCGGAACCCAACCGGGTGAAAAAAGTTGCGATGCGGAAATTTCCAACAACCGTGGAATTGGTCCGTATAATTTTTCTCCGGTGGAAAAAATTGGTTTGTTCTGCCTTTGTCATTTGGCAAATGCCCCGGAAAACAGAGAGCTGTTTAAAAAGGAAAAACTTGAAGATTATTTAATTTGTGTTTGTTGGTTTACACAACGCTGTCCCGAAGTCGCTCATTTAACACCAAAACTTGATGGATTCGAGCGCTTAGAGCCACCACGCTTAGAATCAATAGCAAAAGCATATCTTTCAAAATGTTTCGGGCGAAAAATAAAGTAGGAAATTGGAATGGGAATCTTTATACTTAGGAACAGACCATTATTTTTTTGGAGAGGGGGGATGGAAAATTCTTAAAAAAATTGTTTGCAAAGACAAAAAAGTTCAAATTGTTTGCACAAATAGAGAAGAGGAAAAAAATAGTTTGCAAGCTAATGAGATTATGCAACATCAACCAAGGTTTAATACGCAAACAGACATTTAGTAGTTTTTCAAGTATTTATAAACCAAAACATTTAAGATGGACAAAAAAATTGTTTGCAGAGACAACAACACCAAAAAAAATTGTTTGCGTTGACAAAATGTTCA